TTGAATTTGAATGGGGGGCTTTCCAGTTTGCTTTTTACTGTTCTGCTTACTAATAATAATGTTTCTACAAATATGACAAAGAATGATTTGGTTTTTTATTTTTGTTTGTTTTGAGCATCTCTGCTACGTCCCTTATTAGAGTAGAACTTTCAGACCTTTTAAATATGTGTTTTGTTATGTTTTTAATTGTATGTGGACCCAAAAAAAAGGCAGGGTTTTTTGTTTGTTTTTAATCCTGTGTGATGTGTTATGGGATTTTAATTAACAAAGCCTGCAGACACAGTGAGCAGTAGGCCAACAACTTTTAATAATAAACACAAGCATGCTTGGAGAGAGCCGCCATCATTGGGCACTGACAGCAGTCTCTCTACCGATGATCAGCACAGCCCTGGTTTAAATACAGTCAGACAAAAGTACTTTCCCAGCTGTTAACCCTCTCCAGAATGTGGGAGATCTTCTTACCGTGATTGCCCCTTGTCTCTTCCCCCATCCTCAAAAACACAGAACAAAAAGCGTCACACCTGTGGAATTTCCCCCACTTGTTGTCACCCCCTTTCTTAGAGGCCTAGCTGTGTGTGTGCAATAAAGTTAGAGCTGAATGCTCTTCCACATATGCACCCTTTAAATGACCCAAAAGTGACATGACTAAAAAATATGACCAATACATCAAATAAAAGAATTCCATTATAGATGTCCAAATTTGTGTTTTTTTCTGCTTCTGCGACCTCCCAGGTGAAGCTGCAGGGTTGGCTCTTGGTCTCGTCATGCTGGGCTCCAAGTCGGCTCAGGCGATCGAGGACATGGTGGGCTACGCTCAGGAGACGCAGCACGAGAAGATCTTGCGCGGTCTGGCAGTAGGAATTGCCATGGTCATGTATGGACGTATGGAGGAGGCTGATGCCCTCATTGAAAGCCTCTGTAGAGACAAGGTATGACTAAAAAACACTCAAAAATCAAATTATGTACACCATCAGGTTGAAACTTCTGTCAAAAAAAAGTGACAGTTGTCTTTGCCATAGGGTCAACTTACCAATATCTAGAAAATAATAGAAGTTTGATTCTTCAATGGAAAGAATCTCAGTCTGTTTCATAAAGGTCACGACTCTCCGTAAAGCTCACAATTCACTGTGCCGATATTTGATGTATCAAATCCCGTCTGCACTTACTGAACCTCGGGTTGTGTGTATTTCCCATCACATGTGGGACTCTTCCTCTGTACTTTGTGCCAAGATCTAGATGTGGGAAATTACTCAAATTGTGTTGATCTTAGTTGTGTATCCAGACACAGTCTTAAAGCTCTGCTTTCTTTCACTGTCTACGGTAGGACCCCATCCTGCGGCGCTCTGGTATGTACACTGTGGCAATGGCATACTGCGGCTCTGGGAACAACAAGGCCATCCGACGCCTGCTACATGTCGCTGTGAGTGCTTCCTTTTTTCCTTCTTTACAACACTGTCACTGAAGGGAGTGCAGGTTTATAATGATGGCACTGAAGCGGATGGAAGATCCACTAATGGCCGGCCTCATAATAGCTGCTAGTCATAATATTGTCAAAAGTATGATTGTTTATTTTCTCCCTTAATCTGTCTTTTTGTTTTCAAAGCTTTAGTAGCTGCTGTTATTAAACTAGTGGCAGTTATTTAAAGCACTGTATTCTTTCAGGGACGATCTTGCAAAACTCTTTGCTAACAGAAATCTCTGCAGAGGTGTGAACCACTTTTGTCCTGCAGGTGGCACTGGGTGCTAACTGAATTTATTAGACAGCTTAATAGTAGAGCATATTTCTTTTACTCTGAGTAGTAGGGGGTGTGCATTTTTAAGATTAAATCAAGTCCCGTTTAATTGACTGCCTTTCTTTTGTCTATTAAGGTGAGTGATGTGAATGATGATGTCAGACGGGCTGCTGTCGAGTCCATTGGCTTCATCTTGTTCAGGTAAGCCAGACCTCATTCTTTAAACTATGAACACTCTGTTTTGGTTTTTTCCACATGCACCAAAGGCCTTTCTCTTTAAAACCTCAATGCTTGTGCCAAAATTCCAGCTTTATGCAAAACACAACCTTTGAACAAAGACATGCTTATTTGAGCAGATCAAATCATGCATCTGGTAAAAGGAAGGTTTTCTAAATATCATTGTTATTACAAATGCTGCTTCTTTGTGTTAATCTTTTGAAGAGTTTAAAAAAGTTATATAATGACAACCAACCAGTGCTCAGTTTGCTGTCCGTCCGTTTATTTTAAACAGTTGCACAGTTCTCTTTGTTTGCTGAGGGGAGGTAGAATTAAAGCTAGATGGTTTATGCTTGTAGATTTCTGTGTGTGTCACATCTGCCGCTAACTGGCTGTCTATCTTAAACGCAGCTGGCACACGAACAACAACCTCCACAAAGAGGCACGTGCATTATAGTAGAAACTCAGTATGATTTTAGATGCTTGTTATATGGAAATTAATAAATAAAAATCATTACCTTAAAAAAAGACTTGCAGAATGCTTACGGCAAAAGAAAATGGCACAACTACAGCCATCCGTATTAAGGTTTATAGCATTAGCTGCCACAGTAACTTTATAAATCCACAGAGTGCCTGTGGATACTCTGGTGTCCCCCACAAACTAGAAGGAGAACAGGGAGTTTACCAGTTTTTCCATCATTACAAGCAGCTGATCTCTTGGTTACTTGTGGGAGTTTTGTTTAGCTTTACTACAGTTAGCTTGCTTGGGATTTTAACTTGTGAAGTCAAGTGTTGTTGGTTGATTGGCTAACACAAACGAGTTAATGTAGCAGCTGGCAAATGAATGAAACCAGTGAATGTCATTTCCAAGCAGATGTCCTGGAGCTTAGTTGGCTTTGACCAGTCTGGTTCTTGTTATTCGCTACGTCACTACTGACACAGAAACAGTTTGATTTTATTTCTTTTTTGCTTCAGTTTTCCTGGCTGACCTTGTGTTTTTTATATTTTGTGGTAATGAGTTGTCAAAATTTAGTTTAGTAGTAGTTACTGGTCTTCATGATGTTCCTCTGTCAGACAATGACACCACTGAGGCCCTTATCACTTTAACTGTCTTCTCCAGTTATTTACAGGCATTTATCCCACTAACATCAGTGTTTGCCCACCATAGAGCAGGGCTCGTGCTAAGCAGACCGCCTGGCCACTTCACAAACATCAGGGTGTGCATTTTTAAGCCCAAAAAGGCCATGTGATATCATGTGATCAATCGGCCGCTACATAAACCTTGTGTAAATTTTCTCTGTGTTTAGAAAGACTTGTGAACCAGAGCTATTTAGTTTGCCTGCTCTTCTCTGATTTTCCACCCTAATGCCTTAAGAATAACTGCATGCACTCCGCCTCACAAGAAGAGCCAAGTTTGAGTGCCTTACGTTTCAGCTTTTTCATACTAAATCAGCAGAGTTCCAGTTTGTTTGTTTGTCTTTTGTTTAGCAGTGACACACTCTATACAGGAATATTAGTTTAGTTTTAGTTTAGTTGAATTTATGCTGTTTTCCTGGATATTTTTAAACAGAGAAATCAGGAATTGCTCCTTAAATATGCTGTCGTTACAGTATTCGTATTTTTCTTTTTCAGTGTAAATAGCAGTGTTTTTATTGCCAAACTCTGTTATCTGCTTTGGTGTTTATGATTTAGGGAAAAGTGAATAGCCTTTTTTGTTTTGTTTGTCTTACTGTGGCTGTTATGCTGTGTTTTGTTTTGCCCAGCCCTTATTTATGATAGAGGCCATTTTTTCTGATCACATTACAGTAACATATGAATGTGGAGATCAACAGCATAACACACAGATGGTTAGAATTTGGCCTTTTTATCAAGAACACAAGAAATATTTTATTAAACACATGTAGATTTCCATTTAAAGTGAACAGTTTCTATGTACAGTCTTTTTAAGTGGACATCTTTTTAACATGTCAAAACAGCAGGCTGCGATACACGTACAAGAGTGCTTTTCAAAGGTCCAGCAAATACATTAAGTTTCGTTTCAAGAGTGCGAGGCGTTTATGTCTGTCTGTGTTGTCTTGACAAAATATAAGCATGTAGATGGTTTACAGCATATTTAGACAGCAAAAGTTGAAAGCATCAGAATAGGAAATGTACTGTATACTGCATTCAGGGAGTTTCCAGGTCACAATGATATCCTGAACTTTGTAGATGTAGTGTTCATAGTTGAAAATAGATCCTTGTGTAACTGATGTAAACAAACATTAGCGATCACTTACTAGTTTCTAAGTGAGGTCACCACCTTGAACCCTGGAGGGCAAAACAAGCCTTCCTTAGACTTCATGTGCTTTACTTTCACCAGAGTTATCAAACCAAAATGCCAGCTAATGTTCACAAGCCGCTCAGTTGTTTACAGCTGCTGGGCAAGTAAAGATAATGGCACTAAATGCTAACACACACCTCCTGAGGCTGCCGTACAAATACAGCTGCCAAATCACACCAATGGCTAAATTATATTACATTATTATAAGCTTAACAGATGAGTTTCACCTTCCAAACGTGGCATTAGTGACACATCTCAATCAAAAATAGATAGACCTGCACCTACTATTGTTTTTGTTTTGTTTTGTTTTTGTGTATGTGCTGGTGGCAGTGTAAGTGCACTGGGGGGATATTGTTACATATTGCAAATATTGCCAAATGGACTGCAGCTTGTGCAATGTACACTTTACAAGTATGGGAAAAACATGCAGTATTTTAAATATCAGTGTTTTTGAAAGTTGATCTGAACATTTGCAGCTTGTAACATATTAAAAATGAGTTCTCTGGTGCTCTGATGCTCTGAGTTAGCCAGCATTTTGGTGTTTTGCCCTCTAGGTGTGCCCTACAAAAGATTATGAACAGTTTGGGGTTTGTTGTCTTGCCATTAAATGTATCCAACTGACAGAAACATCTGTTTGTGACAAGCCTTTGTCTTGAAAGAACTAAAATTTGCAACATAAATTTTATCCACTTTAAGTACCCCTCCCCCACCCCCGATTTCTATTAATTTGCTTTGCGTGTCCATAGTCTATACACAGCTAACATGTTCCTCCTGCTTATCATCTTCATTTTCAGTCAGAAGTATTGTGTCTAGCACAACACCACTAGATGACTGTACAGGTGGCTGCCGACACCTCAGCGGGCTTTGGTAGGCCACAGCTCCAATGCCGTTCTTCATTCCCCGTTTCATGAATAGCTTAGAGTTCTCTGCCATGGAAGATTTGATTGAAATCCTTGTTAGAGTCCACTCTGCAGTTGATGGCCTCAGATGTCCTCCTGACAGGTTACTGGCACAGCTCCTGTAATTACAGGTGATGTAACGTGTGAACGCCTGCCTGAAAGTTTTGTTGAATAGGGTGTAGACCAGCGGGTTAATACCTGATGACACGTAACCCACCCAAACAAAGATCTCCATGAGCCGGGCAATGACGTTGGGATCGCACCCTTTGCATAGCACTGAGGTGATATTTGTAATAAAGAAAGGGCACCACATGACTACAAACAGGAGGAAGACGATGCCCAGTACCTTGGATGCACGCTGCTCGTTGCTCAGAGTCTGCATGGACTTCTTGCCCATTGTTGACATCCTGCGAAAGGACTGTTCGTACGGCGCGTGAGCGACCGTGGTGCCTGCATTTGGCTTTTCCTGCATCCGGGGAAGTCTGCTGTCCAGCACATTCATTTGCTCGGCTTCAGTTGAAGCCATAGACTGCTCCCGTTGAAAAACCGTGGACACCGCCGGAGAGCTAAAACGCTGAGTGACCTTTGACCTGAGCAAATAAACCTTTTTGCGCAACACATGGACAGTGAGTAGGTAGATGACCATCATGATAGTCAAAGGGATGAAGAATGCTGACAAAGAGCCAAATATGATAAAATCCCAGAAGGTGGTTGGTTTCAGCAGGCACGTGTGGTTGCTGTTGAAGGTGATGTTGTTGGGAAGGTGGTAGTTCTTAAGGCCCCTAATAGGAATTGGAATTGCAATACCTAGAAAAACGACAACAACATTAAACACTGGTTGTTACCACACTCATTTGATGAACAGCTTACTGGCTTGCATTTGTTTTGTTTTTTTCTGCAAATGCAGTAATTTTTCATTTGAGAGAAAGAGCTGCTTTTACTGAAACGTGTCTCCAATAACAAGGCAAGACTGATTGCAGCATCTTTGTGTTTACAAAATCTAGTAAACGAATCATTCCTGGCATGTCGTCACCCCCCTCAAAATAAGCCATGGTGTACAGTAAGCTTTAAAAGTTTAAATAAAGCCACACCTGACAGCCAAAGTGAATGTTCCCTTAGTGGTGTGAGTACTGAGCTGTACTGTGCTGTAAAGGTGTTTTCATGTATTTAACGTAAGTTTTTGAGATGCAGCTGATTTTACCTTTTATTTTAAAACTTGGAATTTTGGCCCTTTTTAGTCTTCACAATTATGTATCCACCATCACAGTGGACTTTAAATCACATCAGTGCTGTTCATATATATATATATGTTGCTGTTTTATGTCCTGCGGCATGCATTTCTGAGTGTAAACCAGGTCTTGTTGGAGCTTTTATGTTTTGAATTTTGACTTTAAAGACAGCTGTAGAGCTGAAGGCTGAACAGACAAACTTACAAATGGATATGAGCCACACCAATGCGATCTTGACCAGCGCTTTGGCTCTGGATTTGTACTGGCTGTGTTGAATCGGCTTCTTGATGGCAATGTAGCGATCCAGTGAAATGGCACAAAGGTGCATGATGGATGCAGTAGAAAAAAGCACATCAAGGAAGAGCCAGATGGGGCAGAGAAACTCAGGAAGAGGCCATCCAGAGTCTAAAGAGAAGATGAGATGGAAATTAGAGTTGGCAGATAGTTTAATATACTTGTGGTGTAACTGGTTTTCTTGCCAAAAAGAATGCGGTCATACTCTCTGCCCGTTAGGGTAGATATCAGACAATGGCAACGGGTTTGAAGTAGCACTCGTGCAAATGATTGCTGTTTGTTTATCTGCGAGGAATCACTTTACTGGAAAAAGGAGGGTTCGCCGAGTGTTTATGGAGCTCGGAGCTCTTTATGTAGATGTGGCAGAGACTGCGCTCAACAGTAGTGTTTATTTTGAGTTCTGGGTATAAAACTGGCAAGTAGTTGTTCTGGCTTTTGTCTCGTCATCCATTAACATAGTAAAAGACAGTTGTTGGAATTTTCCTGTGTTATGCCCGTCTCCTCCGCCTCCTTACTGCGCTGCTTTCTCGTACTGTTTTGATTAAGTTTGACGTGGAAGCTTTTCTCCCCCCAAATGACAAATGATTCCCGCTTTTCGAAAGTGTTTATTTGTTTTATTAGTTTTACAATGTTACTAAAGCAATCCTGCCCTTGTAAGCTTATTTTTTTTAAATAGTTTTTTCTTTTATGGTTGCCTTTGAAAACATCCTAGTTCCACCACGTGGCAGCCCGTTAAAAGCTTGGAGCATAAAGCAGAGCTCTCCTGTAGTTCCTAGTTATACAAGGCTGGTGTCAGCACCTCAAAGTCATTTTCAATGTTTTTTATTTTATTTTTTTTGGTTTATAAGAATTACAAAACTGCTATTTGAACAGATGTGGGTGTCTAAGAGTCAACAGTGCAGGACTTTTATTAAAAAAATATAGGGATGAAGTGTTATAACTTAAAAAAGAATAAGAATAATTTCTGGCAAGTATAAGAAAGAATGTGTTTATAGCACATTGCACAGCACAAACAGCTACAATGTCCACAGCTCTTTAAATAAAAACAAAAACATATAGAATAGAGGAGTTCAGATAATCTAATGTATTAAATTACCACATTATTGGTTAGTAGAGAGCTGGCTTCTCACTTAGGCTTTTCTTTTTTCTTTTTTGGCTACAAGTTGGTTTATTTTAAGTTTACAAGAGTTTCTGTTCACATAGCTCATATTTTAAACAAGAGGACCTCTTACATTTTCCAGGTGTCTGTATACTTCTGTTCAGCAGATGTGGAAGAGTGGCTGAATACTAGAAACATTTTCTGGCAGGGTGTGTTGCATCATCTTTTCTTTGAAAGCTATATATTTTAATTCAAAGTAAAGTAGTTTCTCTGCCAGCTGCAGCCAGCTCTACCTGCCCTCCTACTTTACTCCACGAGCAAGTCTGAACGGATGATCAAAGATAAAGGGAGGTTATTGCTGTTCAACTGGAGACACTTTGGTTAATAGAGAAATCAATTTCTTTTATATGTGATTGGATCGCTAAAGGTAAAGGCCTAATAATTATAGTGACATTGTATAGAGCTGAAAAGAAAAAGAAATGTAACTAACTAACAAACTTCAAAGGACTAGCTGTTAGCCTCTCTGCACCTTCCTCACCTGTTATTAGATTATAAGAAGAGGGTTAAAGGTTAAAAAGATAAATTGGACTTCAACCACATTCATTATTTGCACACGGCTACAAAGCAAACACCTCTGGACACCGAACCAGCACATCTCTAGCCTTAATTAACAATGATAACAGTCTTAATTTACACAACACACGCACGGCTTTATTAGTCTGTCAGCTTACGTGTGTTTTTATTGTTTCTGATTATTTCAAGCCCAGCACAGCTCATCGGCCCCACCTTACAGTTGTATCACTGATTTCACTGAAATATTTAGTTTAGTTGTGTTGACATTTGTGGTATTAGTGTACCAATGTACTATAACCTTGTCTATGTGACTTTGTTTATTTCGCTAAAGGTTGTTGGCACAGTATGACGGTCCGCACCGTCGTTAGCTATCCTTCACACTAACACACTGTTTCTGTCTGTGTCCTCATGACCTCTTCCAGTTCACCTCAGCGCTTCAGCTCTCTCTAAATAGGAGAGGATGACAGCTGCCTGGGTCTTAAAATATATTTCACAAAAGCAGAGCATGTTTTAGGAGTTGTTTTTGTAGACCTTTGTAACCTTTTAGCAGATAGAAATACTGCTGGAAAAATTAAAGAAATACATTTTAATCACGGTTGGTGTTTTTTTTCTCAGTTATGTGACTGGACTAGTTCTTAGGACTAAATATTTTCAGCCTAGATAAATTGCTTTAGAGGTTCCCATATTGAAGTGATGGTTTGAACAAAGAAAAAAGAAATCAATACCCTTTCAGTTTCTTTTATGTTTCAAAGCCAGCAGCTTTTAGCTCAATACCAGGTTTGTCATGGATCAGAATGGGCCTTTCGGTGTCTACTGAAGCACGCATACAAAAATGAATGATATGAAAGGACAAAATCTGCACAGGCTTGTTGAACAGAAATCTGTGAGTTTTGTTGTTATATCTGGCTGTTTGATAAATTAAACTGTTTATTATGCTTGGGTAAATGAACCCAAAATAAGTCTGGTTTAAAATACTAATTTTACTGATGATTTCCCCTTTGGCTGTGACTAAAACTTCTTTGGAGGGTTTACTGGGTGAATTTTGGGCTCAGTGTGCTCAATTATAGCAATGTGAAAGGGGATTAAGCTTCCTGGTAGACTGATGAACAGGCTTTATATGTTTCTAATGTGGAGAGTGATGTAAAACTCATCACTTATAGCTGGTATCCTTTTCAATCCAGCGATCCAGGCACAATTTAAATAGCATGTTTCCAGACAGATTTGTTACAGAAATAGATGCAATGGCAGATTAATTGTAAAGCCCTTCTTTAATTAGATTCTGCATTAAGGTAAGCGCTTAAGTAGCATCTCTGAGCAATCTTACTTGTGCAGCTTTCAGTGTGACACATCCACATCTGCGCTCTTGTGTGTTAGGCATAATTATAATCCAGCTCATTATCTTTCAATTGAACTAATGGAGAATAATGCGTAGCCATAGCTCTGTATTTTGTTGTGGTATGAAGAGAAAAAAGGGATGATACAAGTCTAAATCAGTTCCTGTGCAGCTGTATTTGCACAACAGTATTAATGGAATTAATGGAAAAATGGCTTTCCACTGGTAATAGTCCCAGAGGCAAGTCGTTCAGTCCAAGCTGTGGACCTGGCACCAAACCTTTGCCAGAGAAAGTCGACTGTTCACCGTCCACTATCTCTTGTTATATTTCATCTAGAATAATTTGTTTAGAGATAGAGTTTAGAGTCTTGATTGGATCTAATACTGCGTCTCAAATTGTTTTTCTCCTCTTCTGTTATCCCCAAGTCGTCTGGTCGTTATACAGATATTAACGCCTAATGAAGGTTTAATACAAGTTTGCTGTGAATTAGATTCATTAAATCACTTCGGTCACTCTTGAACTCACTTTAAAAAATTGTTTTCAAAATTTGTTGGTGGTTTGGACATCAATTTTCAGTGTTCTTCTGGATATTATGACAGATTATGATCTGTTGGGGCGATCGTGGGAGTTCGCCTTGTAATCGGTGCGAGCCCCGGCTTGGACAGTCTCGGTCGTTGTGTCCTTGGGCAAGACACTTCACCCGTTGCCTACTGGTGGTGGTCAGAGGGCCCGGTGGCGCCAGTGTCCGTGTGTGTGAATGGGTGGATGACTGGATGTGTAAAGCGCTATACAAATACAGGCCATTTACTATATTAAAGAAAGAAATATAATCATTCCAAGGGTGCTTTGTTCAGAGTCACACCTTAGACATGGGTGAGGTAATGTTGGCAGTTGTTTGCTGGCTGAGCTGGGGGAGCGTCTGGGGTTTAAATACGGTTTATTTTGTAAGCATAATAAAATATATTGTGATTTATTTTTTTTATTTTTTTTAAATAAACGTAAACGACCTTTTAAAAGGGAAAAAATAAGAAATGTTATGCTTGGGTTTGTAGGATTTTTACCTGTGCAGCTTTAATACTACCCATATAATGTAAAAAAGCATATGCAGTATATGTGCAATGAAGCTGTCAAAGCCAAAGCTCCATGCTAAACTTACTGTAGAGAACAGTGACCAATGCAATGGGCATCACTAGGAGTCCCACCAGCAGATCGGCTACAGCAAGTGACATTAGAAAGTAGTTGGTAGCATTCTGCAGCTTTTTCTCCAGCGACACAGCGAGAATGACCAGGATGTTTCCTCCGATCGTGGGGATGATGACCATGACAATGAGCAAGGCAGCCCATTTCAGCTGAATCTCAGACACTTTGCCTGCGTGTGAGCTATTAGCCTCGAGCTGTGCCATGGCTGGCTGAGACAGGGTGCTGCTGAGCATACAGCGGGCTTGAGTGTAGGTCGGGGCTCTAATCTTTCTGGTCTGGGAGACTCGGTCAGCATGGTCACTGGGTCCCACAGGCAAGGGCACAGGGTAGGGTGAGACAGTTCAGGGGCAGCACACAAGATCCTGCATCCCGTAAAAGCCAAACGAAGATGCTCTTTGTTCTTATAAAATCCAAAGCTGGCAATAATCCCAACACGATTAGTAGCTCCACAGTGCGATGTTCCGCAAGTGAGCAGGGGTCCTCACTTTCCCAGGCAGCTGACACTCTTGACATCCACTTCAAAGAAGAAATAGGTCTGTTAAAGGGGTAGTGATTAGTCATTTTCTTTACCCGAATAATGACGAAATACAGCAATGGTAAGTAATAAATAAAGCAAAGACAGTCAGATCATGAGTTATGTGAATGCCAAGCTGGGAAAACAGACTGATGGCTTAAAAGCTTTTCAGATTTCTTCTGTTATACAGTTAAAGGTTAATAAAAGATGCAAGTTGTTTGTACACAGTGTTTCAGCTGATATTTGTTGATTAAAATTAGTAGATGAATGTGTAGGATTTTGAATTTATATACCTTCCAAAGCAGTGGTTTAAATGATGTCGAAACCCATTTTCAAATAAAAAAAGAAACTAGTATTGTGATAGTTTTGCGAAAGTTTCTTACCTGTTTCCCAAGGTAATGTTAGCTGTCCTTCTCCTTTTGTGTTTTCAGCTCTTTAAGTCTTTTCCCAAACCTTTACGTCTTAGCGCTGTTGAACACTAAAACAGTATTCTGAGCTGGGAAAAGAGAGCCGCTTGACCCCCCGTGCATTTCACTCTTTGCACACCTTGTAAGGTGGGACAGCTTGGTCTCTTTTAATGTCTCCTATCTCATCTTTAAATTTCTTCCCTTCCCATAGAAGAATGTGACAGAGAACGCCCTCCCTCAGCAGCGAATCCTAAATCTGTCTTAGTCTGAAGCGGTCCGTGATGTGGAATTTATTCGCTTCCACATGTTGGAGGAACTTCCAGTCTCGCCGCGCGTCACCTACCGCGATCACAGGTTTAAAACTTTCAGATGTTGTTGCTCCTCTGCCGCTCTCCCGTTCTCACTCGTTGCCTCTCGTCTGCAGCCCGCGATCAGCTCACGCTCTCTCTCTCTCGTCCCCTCCCTCCCCCTTCTGCTTGCAAGTGACTCAGACTCTATACAAAACAGATGAATGTCTTCACGATGGCAACATGCCAGTTGTTCTGGGAGGTAATTTCCTTCAACACCGCCGTCCTACTGTTTATATTTGTCACTTTCTGTTCACTCCTCTGCTCGAAGAAGAGGGGAGGTAGGAGCACTGTATGGGGGGAACCTTTTGTGTAGAGGTACATGCTTGAAAATGTACTTATACTACATAGCTGTTAAAGCCTTTTGTCCTCAGTGAGCTCACATTGAGAAAATCTCAGGAAACTTGTTTTTTTTTAATAGATGATATAGATTTTAAGATATTATCCCCTATTTATGTATATTTTTGTTTTCTCTATAGATTTTTTTTGCTTCTAGTCATGATGTTGCTTTGCTTTTTTCTTTTAAAAGCAGATTTATTTATTTATTTATTTTTTAAGTGAGAAGTTCAGAGTGTACCCTTGGATATTTTAGATGATACATGTCCCTTGTTTCTGTCAAGGTGGCAGTACATGCATAAGATAATCTGCTCTCTTTTACTTTGCTTATCCTTTAATGAAGTTTAATCTCTTCAGTCCCAGAAGTTTAACATTTTTTTAAATGCTTAAATCATCACATCAGGTGTAGCGCTGTGATTAGAGGCAGCATCTATCTCTCCAACAGCTGCTTTTACCCGAACATGTTTTCAGTGTGATAACTAATCTTATTTCTTGGGATCTGCATGTTTGCCAACTTTTAAACTGCTGCAACATAAAAGGAAATAAAAACGTTATGTACCATTAGACGTGACACTTTTTTTTCTCCCAGTTTAAGCAGTTTAACAAGTTAACAGTCTACCCTTTGGCAGCTGCTTATCACTTATTATTACAGCAGTATACTCACACGTGTTTGTTTTGTTTACTCTTTGGATGAATTTTGATTACCTTTTAGCGTAAACTATAAAAGCCACATGACCTCTTGTCTAAAATTAACATTGTCCAGGTGTTTTTCATGATGTGTTTTACAACTGCTTCCTGTAACAGACGGGAAGCAACCGAATGTGATCTGCAGTCATACAGCAAGACCACATCATTGACTGCCAGTCACATTTCATGCGGAAAAATTACATGTTTTAAGATTTTTTTTCTTTGCTCTACACCTGCAACACTGACTTTGAGTGGAGTCATGAACTTGGTGCTCCGTTTTTTGTCTCTTTCCTTTGAGTTAATTCTGAGGCTTTTAAGTCCATCACGCATTACCAGGATATTGAACTTTAAGTCGAATTCCAGACGTCACAGCTTCACAGGCTTTCATGTGAAACAAATGCTGAATATTGATTTCTTCTCTCCACCTCACTTCTTCTATTTTGATGGTGGTTAAAGGTAATCTTTTACTGAAAAAAGCTGAAAAGGCTTCAGATTGAGCTATTCAGATAACCAATCGCCAAAGGTTTCTCAAGGTGTGCTTCAAGCTATTCTGCAGTCAGTTTCAAAAAAAGCATCATGAATATTTTTATTTAACCTAAATGCTCATTCTGTGTGAGCCCTTTAAAGTTTGGCTCTCACCCAAATGTAGATTGAAGGGCACCATCCGTCAGTCTACCAGAATAGAAAAAAACCTCTGGAGGTGACACTGAAATCTGATCCAAAGCTCTCAGTGATTGCCACTTGTGATCTCGCTAAATCCTAATATAATGGTCAAGCTGAGCTTTTAATTCCAGACAGACCAGTGCAGATTACTCACTGCGGACATGCCTCCATATTGATGGACAGTTTAAGAGTTTGTGGCTTTTTGTGTGTGTGTGTGTGTGTGTGTTAATCTTATTATGACATATTTTTCTGAAGGGGCAACTTATTAATTCCAAGATGCAGTTTTTCCAGTCTATAGTGTTTTCTACTTCTGTTGAATAGGTTATATATTCTGTCCATTAACGCGACTGTTTTTAATGATGAGTAAAAAGACTGATTCAAACATTTCTTTCTATGCTTTATAGTTGTAAGGCTCATAACGATGTGATTATAGCTTCAGTTATTGGACCCAGTGTAGTTCATCCAGTCAGTAGTGAAGTAAGTCATCTTTGTGAAGCTTTAAAGCTTCCAAGACTGTTTTTACTGAACTTATACCGTAATTTTCATATAATTTGTGAACACATTTGTAGAATAATTCAGCATATACACAAACACAGTTTAAAGCCTTTTTTTAACCAACTAGAATCCAATAAGCACCACTGTTTCATCATTCTCCTGCTCGTCTATTTCTTCTGTGGATCATTGAGCTTTTAGTGTTATGTTAGAAGCAGGGACAGCCTCTTTATTTCCACTATAGCATTGCTGGGTCAGTTAGTTAAACGCAGCCGTTTTCTGTGATCCTTGTGTCACTGATTGGCATCTGTTTGCAGTTTAAAGCAGACCAACTCTTCATGCAAAATTCTGCGTAATCTCACCAATCAGCCTACCAATTCAAGCCCGGGCAGAGCCGTTGTTATCACAAGTGAATTATCAGATAATGTTCAACATCATGTTTTTGTTTTTTCCCTCCTCTTTTGTGCCCGTGCATATTTTGCTTCAAAGTGGTTTTTGTTTAGTTTTTTTTTTTTTTAACTAAGATAATTTTTACTCAGAAAACAATAACGACTGTCACCTGCTGAGCTAAATTTTTGATATGATCGTGCAGGTTGTGCCTATATGACTAAAGCGGTGCTGGTAAAAATGTGTTTATTTAGCACATTCCTTCACATTTGTAGGAATTTGTAATGTTTTTACCATGTGGTTAATATACATAAATGTTTTTTAATCCAAGTGAGAACCAAATGTAAAGATTTGGGGAAGTTTGTGAGAGTTTCTGATTGTTGAATTTTTCTTTGTTAAATCACAGCATCCAGAAAGCTGTGATTAGTCCAACAGCAATCTGAACTGATTAATGACATTTGTCTGTGATTAACTTCAAGTGCCTCTTCTTTCTACCCCTTTGTGTCTCCAGGACCCCAGAGCAGTGTCCCAGTGTGGTTTCTCTCTTGTCAGAAAGTTACAACCCTCATGTACGCTGTGGGGCTGCCATGGCTCTGGGCATCTGCTGTGCAGGGACAGGCAACAAGGTCAGTGTCTTTTCCTTCTTCTGCTCCAAAAATCTTTTCTGTCTTGTTTCTGAGCAGCTGCTATCAACACGTACTGCAATACTTCAAAATAAAAAACTGGCAGGAAACATTGGATTGTGCTAGCCGGACTTGCACTAGAATATAGACTAATATGTTATCAACAACATGTTTTTGTTTTTTTGTTTTTTTAAAAAGAGGAAAATATCATACAATGGTGTCGCTGGTTTTCTCTTTACTTGAGGTTAATAGAGGGCTTCAACCTTCTAAAAATTGTCCAATCTTCCAGCTGTGTCTTGTGAACTATATTGATTTAAGCATAGAACTAGACCTGAACTTTTTCTCTTTTAAATATGTCTTTACAAAGCACTTACTCCTCCTGGAGTTGGTAATCATAGCTAGAATTAATATTTTTTTTAAAACTATGTGTGAAAGAAAAGCTTACATAACATTTCCTTTACCACAAACGCAGCATTACACCTGCTGACTTCATTTGTCCCATGCGGCTTCTTTCTCCTCTTGGCGTAATGTGCATCAGCGATGCAAAGATTATCTATGCTGAATTAACAGTTTCTCTTTAAATTGATAGCTTCCCTGTGGGGCTGGGGTGAGCGAGTACAGACTGACGTCTGTAACCTCTGCAGGAGCATCTACGAGAGGTTGTCTGCTTTCTTATGTCACACAGAATGATGGCATAAGAAGAAATGCTTAAATTTATGGCATTGTCAAAAAACGAATTACACCAAGATCATGGGAGAAGGCTGCATTTGAACTTCGTCTGTTTCAAGAGTGCAGTAATGTCCTGCCACAATTTCCTTACACTGCTTTGTAGATACTCCTATTCAGCACAGAGGGAAAAGGGTTAATTGCAGATGAGTTAGCATGCATTTTGTTTGGCTTCTCCAAAACGAGGGAGGGAAGAGGACAGACGGCAGGAGTGCTGTCGCTCCCTGAGATGTTGGCTGCTCAGT